TTGTCTTACGTGAACGTAAACAGATGAGAAAGAAAACACACATGTACAGTATTTTTAGATCTGAGTGCGTTCGCTGTTAAAGAGACAGTTTCATAATATCTTAGTATTTGGTTTATTCCCCTTTTGCTTTAATGTCAGCAGCACTTGAGCTGCATGAACTCCACAAGTAACTAATATAGTAAAAAGTAAAAAACCGATATAGTAAAACATATCTGTTCAAATGAGTTAAAATATCACAAGTATTTGATTAGTGAGCCAGAAATACTACAAATTAGTTAGTATACTTTTAGAATGTTTCTTCTAGATTGATTTTATCACTTAATTTTACCTTTGATATGGTTGACATTTTTCTGAGCAAAAAATAATACATACATTTTTACCATGATTTCCAGAAGACACCCACTAAAATGTAATTCAATGTAGAGTTTATATACAAAAAAAAAATATATATATATATATATATATATATATTGTCAGACCTATTTAGAAACAGAATCATTAGATGACATTAAGACTCTATTTAAAGATCACAGTGCAGACCCCAAGAACTAATTCATTGTAATTTTTTACTGTTTACCACTTTGCCTCAATCCTTCAAACCACTAGGTTTTACACATTTGTCAGACGTTTTTTAATAATTTAAAATATAATAAAATTTTCTATGATCACTTTTTCTTTTATATATTTTAATAAGTACAGGTCATAATAAGTAAGCTGTTGTTTCATTTTTACATAAATATAGCTGTTACACTGAATGATGATGGAAAAATTATTTCATTCATATTTTTAAATTTTATTTTCACAAAAGTTTTTTGAAACAATAAAACAGACATTTACTTGCATTTAATATGCTTTCTATGTATATAAGATCACTTTTGTCAATTTAATTTGACACAGACACCAAAATGGGACGTCTCGTCCCATATACATACCATTTGGAAACAGTAAGAGTGATTGACTGATTTTTCATATATTTATTTATTTGTTTATTTTAAAGATGCTCACCAAGGCAATAAATAAGGTGTAATGTATTCCTGTGACGGCAAATCTGAATTTTCAGCAGCCTTTACCTCAGTCTGTCACTGCTGAAAGCTGTTTTTCAGAATTCTCTGATGAACAGAAAGTTCAAAAGAACAGCATTTATTTGAAATGGCAATCTTTTCTAACATTATAAATGTATATATTTATAGTCTCTGTGTGTGTCTGTGTTTATTCACTGGAGTATAAAATTGTGACAACCAGCCTCAGTCTCTTATATACACAGTATATACATCCACACACACACACACGCACACACACGCGCACACCCGCGCACACACACGCGCACACCCGCGCACACACACGCACACACACGCACACACACACACACACACACTCAAAGGCGAGAACAGCAGAAATGAGAAACAGAATTAAGTGCTCTGTGTGAGTGTGTGTTATTTGTGGCACGCTTTAATGGCAACACAAGGCGATCAATGAACCCATAGAGGAACGAAGGCTTCCGTATTTCTCCAAATTGCCTGTGCTAGCAGCACAACCTTGATAACACTCAATTGATTATTAATGCATTATTAATCCAGAGCCAGGTCACAGAGACAGCTGGAGGCACTCATGCACACACTCACACACACACACACACTCACACACACACACTTGTGAGCATGCACACGTACAACACATTGATGAAGCAGCTCCGTGCCTCGAGCCAAAACATGTCCAATGGAACACTGAGTACATCACATCAATTCACAGCAGCAGAACCAGGCAAATTAAATACAGGAAATACAGCAGCCACCAAATACACCTGGACAAGCAAACATTGCACGCTCCCCTGCTCTCTGGGCCTGGCACAGGCCCCGCAGAGCAGCAGATGGTGCGGTGGTGTCGGAGTGGAAGGGCAGTAGCTGGACAGACCCCCGCTACTTCCACCCATTCCCAGACCTCAGGCCCATCACATCCACACCAGGTTTACTACCACATGTGTCCCTCCATCCATCACACACTCTGACAACTCATACACATGACCCATTTATGGGCTGAGGAGACCAGTACATGCCAGTCTAACTTCACATGGCACTTCCATTCTAACTTACAGGTATTAGTATACAGTCAATTATATTATTGTTTTAATAATAGTTGTGTGTGTGTTCTCTTCAAAAGACCAAAGTCTGGTTTCTTTGATTAGTGTGAAATTTGTTGTGAACTAAGGACTGAACCAAATAACCATACTCAAGTTCGGGTATTTACACCGATTTCATGAACTGAATTACGATTCACAAGCTCTTGATTCATTTCAGTTCAGATTTCGGTTCGCTAACGATTCGAATTATATAATTATTTCTAGTCCAACTTATTGTTGAAATTTGATTGTCATAACTTTTCATGACAGATTTATTTAAACATACAATAAATGAGATCACTAACAGGTTAAGTAAAAATATTATGAATATGTAATGTAGTGTATATTTTATTATTATATTATATTATATATTTTTTAAATGTAACATTACATTATATTGTTTACAAGCTGTTTTATTTGTATCTTTACACAGCTGATACACTGACTGAGCAACTGCATGAGACATTGTACATTTCAGTAAGTTGTACTATTTCCTTTATCGGAGTGTCTATTTACACTAAATGCAAATAGCCCGCCTTGTTGGCAGAGGTTATTTACACTAGTTCCACCCACAAATGTGTGATAGGGATGATCAACACTATAAAAGATAGCCAACAATCGTCAGCTTCAGTGGCGTAGATGGTATAGCGCGTACCTTAGTATTTTTGGCGCGATCGACCCTGGTTCGAATCCGCCTTTTACCAAACTTTTTTTCTCCCTTTTTAAATCTCATATCACATCGGAAAGGCATTTATTTTCAATAAAAATTAAGGAAATAATCAAAAAGTTGAAAATAAAGTATCGGGTAGGGTTAGGATAGGTGTAGGGAGGGCTTTATTGTCCCAATAAGGTGGCATCCATTTAATAATTTGATAATATTAAAATGATAATTTACACTCAATACGTTATTACTGCATACTGTTTTATAATGTACTATAATACTGAGGTGCAGATAATTGCCACTATTTGCAATAAGCAGTATAAACAGCAGAAAATCCTGCTATTTTAAAATAGTGTAAATAGAATATATCGCTATCTGCACTTAGTGTAAATAGCATATTGTTAAAAATACTATTTTCACTTAGTGTAAATAGAATCCATTGCTATTTGCACTTAGTGTAAATAGCCTCTATCG